GAGTGAACTCTTAAGTGGCGCGTTGTTCATTTTAGGAGGCATCTTCTGTGCTTTCACGACCGTCACGGCGTCACAACTTTCTGCACTGGCTCACTTAGCCCTGCTGAAACTAGTATCGATCGCCAAACTCGCCGTCACCGCACATCGTGCACAGCCCCTTTGCCTAGTCTCAGCGCTGGTTTGCTGATTGGCAAACATTGTTTTACCGCACTTGTGACGTGCATGTAGTCGATGATGAAGCCACCTCGTCTAGTCTTCAACCTGACGACATCAAGTAGAAGGCCAAACGGCTCCACCCGGATGTTATCTGTGCACTGGGTGGACCGCGACTTCGGGGAAATTGAGCGCGAGATTAAAATTCTTTCAGATGCAGGCTGCATTCCACAGACTGGATCGTGGCATCGTGCTATAATTGCGTCAGAGCACGCCTACTGTGTCCTTTAATATATCTTACTTCTAACAACTTGAAGTACCATCCGTCGTCATTTTGTGCGTCATTTGACAACCCGGTATCAGATTCGCCCAGTAACAAAGTAACTGATGATTAACACTGATCCGTCCCCTACGTCACAGCACGCTAGATCTGTAGCACGAATGAACTGCCAGTCACGATGACAAACCCCTGTTACCGATACAGGCGAAGATGCGAGTTCCAGGAATTATTTGATCAGAAGAAGAAGAAGCGATGGCTGGAACAAGGGCTTTATTCGCCTGACGTTTCGAATTCTCACTTGAATCCATCATCAGAGGCAGTGGCAGTCTCTGATGATGGATTCAAGTGAGAATCCGAAACGTCAGGCGAATAAAGCCCTTGTTCCAGCGATCGCTTCTTCTTCTGATCAAACCCCTGTTAGTTCGTACGTCTCATTGACTGATGACGGCAACTGCAGCTGTGTGAGTGTGTGCAGCGTGTGAGCTACAATCGTCAGGTCAGATCCCAAGCTGTAGGGAGAAGACGGAAGGCACCATAATAAGGGGTTTGTTGTGCACAGAACCCGGAGTTGTTCTCTCAGGCGGCAGTGGCGAAGTCAGAGCTGGTGTTGACTGCGTCCAGTCATGCCTGAGAATCTCTGAGAAAGTGGTGGCAGCCACTTTTGTAGGCTCATGGGCCAAGCTCAAGTGGTGTCCAGTCAGTGTGTGTTGCATTTACCGAGGGAT